GACCAACCAGACTTCCTGTGACCAACCAGACTTCCTGTGACCAATCAGACTTCCTGTGACCAATCAGACTTCCTGTGACCAATCAGACTTTCTGTGACCAATCAGACTTCCTGTGACCAATCAGACTTCCTGTGATCAACCAGACTTCCTGAGACCAATCAGACTTCCTGTGACCAATCAGACGTCCTGTCACCAGACTTCCTGTGACCAATCAGACTTCCTGTGACCAATCAGACGTCCTGTCACCAGACTTCCTGTGACCAATCAGACTTCCTGTGACCAATCAGACTTCCTGTGACCAACCAGACTTCCTGTGACCAACCAGACTTCCTGTGACCAATCAGACGTCCTGTCACCAGACTTCCTGTCACCAATCAGATGTCTTGTAACCAATCAGACTTCCTATCACCAGACGTCCTGTGACCAATCAGACTTCATGTCACCAATCAGATGTCTTGTAACCAATCAGACTTCCTGTTACCAGACTTCCTGTCACCAATCAGATGTCTTGTAACCAATCATACTTCCTGTGACCAATCAGACATCCTGTGACCAATCAGACGTCCTGTGACCAATCAGACTTCCTGTGACCAATCAGACTTCCTGTGACCAATCAGACTTCCTGTCCCAGTTCTAAGATAGTCCTCAGACCACAGAAACCTGTGGTTCCTGCTGAAGTCAGCCGTGTTCTGCAGACTGGATGGCGCGAGTGAACAGATGAAGCAGAAACAAAAACAGCAGAACAGGAAGTGAGTTTTCAGCTGGCCCCTCCCCCTGGTGGTGGACTCACCTGGCCTCGCTCCTTCAGCTCCCGCTCCGTAGCAATCGCTCTGAACACAAACACCACAAACAAACGAGTCAGCTCTGATTTCACTCCTCCTCCCGCCACAAGACCCAACCAGCTGAGCCCAGAGAGCACTCAGTGATGAACCTGATAAACCGATCCGTTTCTGCTGGATCGGTTTCTGTTGTAAGAATGGGGTTTTGTATTTCTGTGGGGTGTCTGAGGGTTTTCTCGGGAGCACGTCTGACCCTGTAGGTGTGTTCACTCACATTCTCCAGCTGGACAAACATCTGGGAGCGTTGCTGCTCAGCATGCGGGTCTGGAACTTCAGCTGCTCCATGTTTCCATCCACAAACTCCTGCTGCAACAACCTGCACAGCAACAGAGTGAGGACGCAGCTCACACACTGCAGCTCGCCTGGCTCCTCCCACTGTGTGTGTGTGTGTGCGCGCGGGATTTTTTCTACAACGTGGGGACAATTTTACCAAAAAAAAAAACCAAAAAACAAAACCAGCCTCGTGGGGACTGAAGTGAATCGTGTGGACCAATGCCAGGTCCCCACAGGTCCAACTGCAAATTACAGGTGTGGGGTTAGTTTTAGGACCAAGGTTTAGGTTAGTTTTAACTGAGGTTAATTTTAGAGTTTATAGTAGGGGGTTAGGATATAAAGTCTAAAAAACATGAATGGAAGTCAATGGAAGGTCCCCACGAGGTTCAAGAAACAAACGTGTGTGTGTGTGTGTGTGTGTGTGTGTGTGTGTGTGTACCTGAGGCCCAGCTCAATGTTGGCCGGCATTGCGTTCCGAAGTCTCTCCAGAACCAGAGCTCGCTGTGACTTCAGAACAAACCTCAGGTAGAGAGAGACCACCTGTGGGAGGAAACCAGAACCATTGTCGTCAGACAGTGGGCGGAGCTTAGTTTTTGAATCAAACTAGTTTCTAACAAGGTTATAATAGTTTGGGATTTTTTATTATAGTTTAGTTTTACTTCATTTTGACTTTTTTCTTTTAATTTAGTTTTAATTCGTTTTTATTAATGGTTTTTATTAGTTATTACTGTATTTTTAATGCTTAGTTTTAGTT